AATAAAGAACACTCCCATTTCTCATGTAACACCATTTTTAGAAGAAATGACGCTAAGTGAAGGCAATGGAAATAAGTCACTGACTTTTTTGGGTTATCCTAAGTTCTCTCCACATATGCTGGTATGTATGATAATCTATGTGACTGTATTTGTGTATTACCTGAATAAACTTACATACATCGAAAGGAATAATTTCCTACAGTTACCCCAGTAAACACATTTTCTCTTATGTTAGACTAGAGAAAATGTTATTCTTGCCGTCACTTGTACAAGTTATCTGGCTACCACATCTCATATTTATGTTTATTTATTCTACTGTGGGATGTATTTATCATCTTTATATGTTATGTATCGTGTTCATTATATAATTTTGAAAAAATATCATGGAGGATTAATGAAAATGTGTTAATTAACGTAATATACGACATTTAATGAGTACTCGGTGATTATTATTATATTATTATTATCATCATTTCTAATATGGCATCACTTGTGCAAGTCGTCTGGCTATCACATCTCATAGTTATGTTTATTCTACTGTGGGGTGTATTTATCATCTTTAAATGTTATGCATCATGTTTATTTATAATTTTGAAAAATATCATAAATGGATTATGAAAATGTAGTATATTAACATAATATACACATTTAAATGAGACTCTGTGATTATTATTATTATTATTACAGTGGACCCCCGCATACCGATTTAATCCGTGCAAGGGGCTCATTGGTATGCGAAATAATCGGTATGCGAATGACTTTTCCCCATAAGAAATAATGGAAATCAAATTAATCCGTGCAAGACACCCAAAGTATGAAAAAAAAAATTTTTACCACATGAAATACAGTGGACCCCCGCATAACGATGGCATCACATAGCGATTATTTCACAAAACCGCTTACTTTAATTGCAAAAATTTTGCTCACATACCGCTTAAAAACCCTTACCGATTTTCTTCCGAGACGCGCTCACATGTTCCGCCGTGGGCATTGTTTACCAGCCAGCCTCCGCGGTAACATCCAAGCATACAATCGGAATATTTCGTATTATTACAGTGTTTTCGGTGCTGTTTCTGGAAAATAAGTGACCATGGGCCCAAGAAAGCTTCTAGTGCCAACCCTGTGGTAAAAAAGGGTGAGAATTAGTATGGAAATTAAGAAAGATTTTGAAGGGTTTGGGGCTAACCCTGAGAGCCTATGCCAGTTTGTGGAATCCATTGTGCCTACTTCAAAAAAATTTAAAGGGAAAAGTGTGCACAGTGGGTTGAACTGCAAACCTTTATGGATGAAAAATCACCCTGACACAAACTGTTGCAAGCCGTGCTGGTGACTATTTCAATGACAATGTTGTGGCCCATTTTTGACAAATCGTAAAGGAACGGGAGGTACAGAGCTCTATGGACAGATTTGTTGTGCGACAGAGGTCCAGTGACTCTCAAGCTGGTCCTAGTGGCATTAAAAGAAGAAGGGAAGTAACCCCGGAAAAGGACTTGCTACCTCAGTCCTAATGGAAGGGATTCCCCTTCTAAACAGTAAGAAGATAATGCTCTCCCCTCCTCCCATCCCCTCAAAACATCACCAGATCTTCAATAAAGTAAGTGTCATGTAAGTGTGCATGCCTTTTTCAGTTTGTGTGTATTAAAATTAACATTTCATGTGGTAAAAAAATTTTTTTTTCATACTTTTGGGTGTCTTGCACGGATTAATTTTATTTCCATTATTTCTTATGGGGAAAATTCATTCACATAACGATTATTTCGCATAACAATTACCCCTCTTGCACGGATTAAAATCGTTAACCGGGGGTCCACTGTATACATTTTCCTACACACAAAGAGAAGGATACATGCACAATAGTAGAGTAGTACATGCACAGTATATATTGTACATGTACTAGTCTACTAAATGAAGAATAAATGACACTTACCTTTATTGAAGATGCAGCAGTGACTGATGAGACACTGTGTCCTGGGAGTGCCTTTTCCTCCTGAGTACTGTAGGTCCTGTTTGGTATTTTCTTCCAGAACATGCCTTATCACACTGTGTATGTCACTACGATTCTTAAGAGACAACGTAATAAGTGTCAGGGGCCCAAGACTGTTCAACTGCCTCCCAGCACACATAAGCGGGATTACCAATAGACCCCTAGCTGTCTTCAAGCAGGCACTGGACAAGCACCTGAAGTCGGTACCTGACCAGCCAGGCTGCGGTTCGTACGTTGGATTGTGTGCAGCCAGCAGTAACAGCCTGGTTGATCAGGCCCTGATCCACCAAGATGCCTGGTCACAGACAGGGCCGCAGGGGCATTGACCCCCGGAACTCTCTGCAGGTAAACTCCAGGTATTGATCTGTATAGTATATAGTAGGCACAACAGTAAGTGTGTACATTAAGTAAGTTCATGCTTTTGAAGAGAGGTGGGGCGTGTTGTCTGGCATTGGAGTTTGTGATCATTCGCACTGCCACTTTTTGTTAGATTATTAAAGGTTTAGGCAATCGGCTGTGAAAGATCCCCAGGCACAAATACCATAGGTGAAGTAAGACAGTGATATAAGGCAAAGAGGGCCCTTTGGGGTACATAGTACTGTATCTTGGAAAGGATACCTACTGTTTTGGAAACTAAGTTATATGCTGGATGAGGGTCTGAAATTTAAAATTACATTCAAGGTGGAGACCTAGAAATTTGTCGTCAATGAGTCTTGTAATGGGTGAACAATTTATTGATGCTTTGTTTCCAAAAAGCATGAAGATAGGTTTTGACTATATTAAGAGTTATATGAGTTGCAATGCATTTGGGAGGTAATTGATGTAAACAAGAAAGAGTAGAGGACCTAGGACACTTCTCTGTGGCACTCCAACAACTACAGGCTGAGTATTGGAGGTCACACCATTTGTGTATACATACTGGTGTCTACCACTAAGATAAGATTTTAGGTATTGAGAGTGTCCTCTGACCCCATAATGCTCTAGTTTTAGGTGCAAGATATTGCAATCTACTGTATCAAATGCTTTGCATAGGTCCATGAAGAGCCCCAGAGGATATTATTTTTTCAATTGCTGTATATAGTGTATATAGTGCACCTTTTGAGTTCTTCATTCTTTCCATAGCTAAGCAGCTGGAACTTATCACCACTGAACGTCATGTTGTTCTCCACTGCCCACTGGAAAACCGTTTATGTCTTCCCGTACTTTTTCAGTGTCCTCTACCGTACTAACTTTCATGCTTATTTTAGTGTCATCTGCAAATGATGATACAAAAGTGTGCCAGTTGTTTTTGTCTATGTCTGCTATGAGAATGAGGAACAGCAGGACAGTGCCTTGGGGCACTGAGCTTTTGACCTTGCTGATGCTGGATCTTGCCCTGTTCACTACTACTTTTTGTGTTGTGTGTGTTAGGAAACCGAAAATCCATCTGCCTACCTTCCCCGTAATGCCCATGGCCTTCATTTTGTGCACTATCACTCCATGATCGCTTTTGTCAAATGCCTTTGCAAAATCTGTGTATATCACATCTGCATTTTGGTTGTCTTCCAGTGCCTCCGTAATTCTGCCATAATGGTTCAGCAGCTGTGATAGACATGATCGTCCTGCTCTAAAACCATGCAGGTTCGGGTTATGTTGGTTGTGCTGGTCCATGAAATTTGTAACCAGCCGTCTCATCACTCTTTCAAAGATTTTTATGATGTGAGAGGTTAGGGCTACTGGTCTGTAATTTTTAGCTAGTGCTCTACTACCTCCGTTATGCAAAGGAGCTATGTCTGCACTTTTTAATGCCTCCAGTATTTCACCTAGATCTAAGCTCTTTCTCCAAAGAATACTGAGGGCTCATGCTAGTAGTACTTTGCACTTCTTTATAAATAGAACATTCCATGAATCTGGTCCAGGTGCCGAGTGAGTGGGCAGGAGTAGGTAGTAGATTTGTTATGTATTATTTTTTCCAAGAATTTGAGAACAAAGGCAAGTTAGATATTGGTCTGTAGTTATTTAGTTCTGTAGGATTACCTCATTTGTGGATCAGGGTGACTCTTGCTGTCTTGAAAATCGATGAGAATGTGGAAGATTGAACAGATCTGTTAGTTTTGCAATAATGGGAGACAGCACATG